GGGGTGTGGGTGGGTATCATTATATTAGTTTAAAATGGTCTCCAAACAATATTATTGTTTATCAAAATAGTTTCTGTGACCATTTATTGCCAGCAAGTTTCAAAGAAGGAAAAACACAGAAGCTGATGAGGCAAAAAAAATTGAATAAGAATCGATGGAGAAAAAGTGACAAGAGTGGAACTACAGAGTCATGAAACAACAATATGACCGTCCAGAAGCATCACTGAAAGGCTGCTCAGGGATGCATGAACAAATAATTAATTATACTGCTTTGTTGTGACCTTTAGAGATCCAAATGGAAACAGTCAGACAAACACAAGCACCTGCTGAGAGAGCWGAGCGAGGAGTTGTTTATGACAGGGTAAACGCTACGGAGCAACAGCGCGGAGAGAGGCTGAAGGAGATTCATCCATGCATGAAACTGAGCTGACACAATAAGAGCCTTCAATCGTTACTTTAAAGAGAGCAACAGACAGCAGTGTTTTACTGTCCATGCTTTAAACTGAGCCATTTGTCATCAGTTAAACAGTCCATTTGAGTTTGCTGAAAATGTTTAAATTGTTGTTGTTTTTTATGTGTTATTTTTACACACACACACACAGCATAAACAATCAGAACTAAACCTGAAGGGAGATCAGGCTTTTGTGGAGTTTGGAAAAAGCAGAACAAAACAAAATAAAATCCAACCCAAGGACGTTACTTATCCAAACTCATCAGAAATTTGTCATCATTTCAATCCCTGGTTCTCCTGAACACCTGAACATAAACACGGCTGTTAGAAGAAGCAGCTCAGCAACAGTTTGGTGGGAAAGAAGGAGCTGTTATGTTCAACCTGGAGCCCAGTTTCTACTTTACAAGCTGCTGTCAGACACAGTTCAGCCATCAGTTCAGTGAAAGAAAAGAGAGAAGAAAAAARAGACCAAACTGTAAAGCCAAGGATAAGTGGGTGAGGTGGGCAGAACAGACGAGACACGACAGAGTTTACAGAAATAAAAAATCAGAGGCAAAAGGCGACAATTAGACAACAACAGCGTGGAACAAAGTTCAAGGATCAGAGCACACAGAAAGAGTGCTTGGCATTAGGAAGCTACAGAAGATAAAACACACTGACCCTTCTAACAACCTGTTTGTGTTGAAATTGGTCTGTGCAAATAGAAAATAGAATAGAAACTCTAAAAACAGCACAAAGAAGTTATTCAAGACAAATTTCTGTTTTATTGTAACAGATAAATCTAAAGTATCCACCTACCTACCTACCTACCTACCTACCTACCTACCTACCTACCTACCTACCTACCTACCTACCTACCTACCT